CAACAGCGTCCACCAGCGACCATCAACGTCCGCCAGCGACCATCAGCGTCTTGAGGAACGTAGGAACGTATGGACATTGATCTAGCGTCTAAGCGTCCACCAGCGATTGGGAGTACGGTACTGTGTAGTAGCACTGTGCGGTTCACATGCCACAATTTTACGACGCCTAATCCACTTGTCTCCTCCCTTCTCGTCCCCACTCTCCACCAGGTGTCTGCCCCTCCTATTTCGCCATAATCTCTACTTCCGGTCGCTGGTGGATGCTGGCAGACGCTAGTTGAATATCCATATTTTTCCAGTCCCTCGAGACGCTTATGGTCTTGGGCGGACGCTGGTGGACGCTGGTAGACGCTGCCGTTATTTAGTTCGAAATCTACACTTTCTAAGTCGATGACGCTGACGGAGGCTCGAAACGCTGATGCTCGCCGGTGGACGCTGCTGCAAAGTATGAATGCGGCCTAACGTGTACATAAAATACGATTAGACCCCTGGTCGATGACGTCACCAAGGCTCCTTTTTGCTGAGTACGGTGTTGTGCATCCATTCTTCGAGCTTTTTCGCATCATAGTCAGCTATAACGTGAACGGTAGGTCGTGATCGGTCCACCGAGTGAGCTGTGGTAGCATCGGTCAAAGTGCCATCGTGTCCGTATAGTACACCACACCAGTCGACGACCACTTGGCCTCTGAAAACCAATTTTTGCTGTTCTGGTGAACTAATCTGGTAGTGATCCTTGAGGACGAACTATAGACTCATTTTCCAAGATGGTCCTCGCCACGAACAAAGCGAATGAGTGCGCAGCTGCAGTGTGCCTTTTCTCCGATCAAAAGTGCACGGGAGGGGGGTAGGCTAGTGGTGCCCTGCGCCATCGTCAAGGTGCAGCCTTTGCGTCGATTCCGAGGTTTTACAGCGAAGCAAGCCCCCAGCGGTAGAGAACAATTGGAAGTGAGAGACGGATCACGGCGTACACTGGAAAGTTCCCAGCGGGGGTCTTATTTGGTCGCTGGAGCGGTCACACTTGGTCTGCAAGTTTTTTTTGGTAGTTGATTTTTCTTTCACGGAAGCTTAAGGGGGGTATTGTGTCTGCTCGCTGTTGCGAGGGGAGTCGTATTGCCTTTGAGCCTTTGAGAGAAGTTCGCGGCGTCGGGAAAATAATTTCTCCCATTGTTGACTATTCGCGGTTTTTCCCGTTTCACATGATGTGCTATATATCCCCCTCCCACGCTCGACAGCAAAAGTTTGGGGAAAATTTAGAATGTTCCGAATTCCGGAAGAGCTGGAAAAAGCGGTAGGGAATTGGGGAAATTTGGGAAAGTGGTAGACAGGATGGGAAAGGGGCATTTGGCTCAGGCTAGGCGCCTGGGTGGCCGAGCGGCAGCGCGGGCAGAGTATGGAGACGGCACTCGGGTGTCACTACCCTACAGCCCCGTTTGCTCGCTTTTTGAGCCTTGATAGTGGCACGTATTGTAGCTGCGGATCCATTCTTCTCACACACGGTAAGAACCAGGATCCACGGGGTTGAGTGTATAGCTTGTTGAACTGTAACATGCCCCCGCCAACCCGACAACGCCCGAGAGTCTTGGGAAACCTCCAAAACTCGGACTGAAAACTTTGCCTGACGACCTTGACGTACCCTGCTATTGTCCTACCTTGTCATTTGTCCAGACACTTCTACACCAATTCGCAAATCCATTGTTTTCTTCGCGATCGCTTTCTCGTCAATGGCCACAGCGACAGCGATTTCGTCGCAATAGCTGTACTGCCGACCACTCTCCGCCATAATGCCACGTCCTGACATCGAAAGAAGGTGGGAGAATCAAAAACGTTGTTGTCACCGAAAGCAGTCGGGCGTGTCAACGGCGCATGGGTTTTGGCGCAGTGCCAGCACCTTTCCTACGGCTTACTAGACACCCGAAGCCGAAACGATCGATCGGAATGTGGCTGGCGTTGCGCCCAAACTCACGCGCTGCGAGTTTTTACGCTCCTGACTTCAGTGATTATGATTGTGATTAATGATTTTTAAGAATAATAATTAATCCAGTAAAACTAACCGTTATGGGTTGCCAAGGCGAGGAATGACGCTAAAGGAGTCTTTATCTTCAGATGAGCCTCAAAGTCAATCAGCTGTTCATGCTGAAAAAGATATTCAAAAAGTATAGAACTATAAAAACTGACAGCTACGCCAAGGGGCAGGAGTAGGTGGAGCAAGCAGGGACGGCCGCATAATTAACACACTTAACACCGCACCTTTCTTGTTAAGAATCCTCTGTGGGTATTTTACTTGTACACGAGCGTGCATTGCAGGCCATGCACAAACACGCGAAATTTGAGTAAGCGTATGCATGGACAGCTGTGCACTTGGCGTTCAGTGTTACGAGCGAGATCGAGTACAATAGCTAGCATTCTGAAAAGAGCGGACCTACTGGCTCATTCATAGCGATAGTCGATAGTTCTGCGAATAAAATTTGTTGATAGTTTGACATAAACACAAATGGCAGGCTGCTGATGAGCTCAATAGTGGGTAAAAACAGTAGCAACCCGAAATGCCCCATATAGGATCCCACTGCCGAGTTGAACTCGTGCGAGCACAAGGCGAAGAGAGGGCCTGCTTGGACGAGTTCTCACTTGCCAGTCAGAATAAAAGGAAATAGTCAGTGAACAGCCGCATCATCAAATAGCCATGGGTAGCGAGCGCCGGTGTGGCATGGGGCAGTGGGCGGGACATTGCGTTCATCACGATCGG